TATATTAAAAGATAGAAAAAATTAAATATTAGTAATTACAAATTAAATTATTAATTAACTTATAATTCTGTATTAGAGATGTACCTCACACAAGATAACAAAATTCTAACACCCGCAACTTTATGCAACTTGTGCGAGATAATATCAAACTTGTGTGAAGTAAAATTATTCAATGATAATTAATAATCAATAAACTAACCAATTTAATAACTTTTATAAAATCACGCATTATCTTTGTGTGCGGTTGTGAATATATACTAGTTTGACCTCACGCGAGGTACATCAAAAAAAAAAAAAAAAGTTTCAAGATTTCGCCGAATTTTGGAGGTTTCACCAGGTTTCAGAAGTTTCGCCCATTTTGGAGATTTCGGAAATTTTAGATTTATTTCGCCTTTGGGAGGGTTTCAGTTTCACCTTTCGGATTTTGAAAATGAATTTCGCCCAAAACGCTAGTCAGGATATATTTTAATAATAGTATGATCAAGAGAATTTAAGCCTGAAAAGAAGCTGTAATAGCTAGTTCAAAGTAGATGGGGATTTGTTCATTAGCATTGGAAGCATCTTCTTATAAAATTTGAATGGTGGTTAAAAATAAAGCTTCCAAGAATCATGGTCCCGAAGTTCGCCAATTTTTTTGCTGCTGTACTATGTAGCACAACAATGACGCATCTTATTTGACCAAAACAATGACGTATGTTAGTCAGAATCAGTTAGTTAGACTTAAGTCTAATTATGTGACCCTGACTAATATACGTCATTGTTTTGGTCAAATGAGATGCGTCATTGTTGTGCTACATAGTACAGCAGCAAAAAAATTGGTGAACTTCGGAACCTTGATTCTTCTCAGCTTTATTTTTAACCACTATTCAAATTTTATAAGAAGGTGTTTCCAATGCTAATGAACAAATCCCCACCTACTTTGAACTAGTTATTAAGCTTCTTTTCACTAAATAAAAGTCGGGAAGCATATTTGACGCAAATTTTCATATGAAATTTTAGATGCGTCGATCATCTGACTATAATAGAAAATTTTATACCTGTGATCTGCGGATGCTGACACTTTCCTACGTATTCAAGTTGCATACAGATCTATACAATAAAAAAAGTAAATTTTTTTTAAATACGACATGCGTAGTGATATACTAGCAATTGTGTAGTCTAATTGCTTGTTCTAGCAAGAAATGGATTGTAAGTGGGTCAAAACCATGCTTAAAGTATATATATTATAATACTAAGCATGGTTTTGTTGTGAAGTGGTTTATTAAAGGTTTTAAAAATATGAACTTGGTAATTATAAAAATAAAAATAATGGTAAGTGCATTTGTTTATCGATAAATTATAAATGCTAAACGTAGAACAAGTTTAATCTAGTATAGTTATTGTATGTTTGTCAAATAGCCATGCATCAATTTCTATAATAGTAATTACAGTATTTATACAAAGTATTATAAAGAATCTATTGAGCTTTGATTATTAAAAATTATAAATAATAACTTACATCCGTAAGTTCCATTCTGAAAGTTAGCACTCTGGAAATAAAGACAAGGAAATATTCTATCGGGAATCTTAAAGCTTATTATTAGTCAGGTAGGTGGGGAGAAGCCTCTATAGTAAACTGAAATCACCTGATTTTCTGCCCATGCCCTGCTTAGTCATTTTGAAAAATAGGAGATTGTTGACTGTAAAAGAAAGCGCAAACTGTCGTGTTACCATCTCCACAAAAAATTAAGAAAAAATAAGTTCTTAACTTTCTTTATTGGGAGTTGTTATATATAGGATACACGTGAAGAATATAACATCCTTTAGTAAATAAATAAGTATTTTTAGTTGTATTCCGGATATTGATCCAGACGCGAGCTTTTTCGGTACATCATGATAAATTAATCAATCGGGATTTACTAATTCGACCCAAGAAATAGAAAGTAGCCCCGATGTTCCGACTCGGAGTATTTACAGTATATTCAATATTACAATATTATAATATAAAAAAAAAAAAAACAGATCAAACCAATTTTTGCATTAACCCAATATAGGAAAATGTGAACTTGTTTTTAAAGTTGTATGAAATCTATCTTTTGATCTTACCTTTTAAAACTATTTGAATTATTACCCTTTTCCACCCTTTACCCCATCAGTTAAAAGATGAAGTTTGAACCAAAAGAAGCCGGTAATCCAATGTAATTCTCTCTTGTGTCTCGCATGTTGCCATTCCAAATCGGGAGCTTGCTTATTACTTTGTGTTCCCTATTTTTTTTTTTTTTTTTTTTTTTTTTCCTAGATAATAATAAATTCTCGTTCTTTATCTTTCTTTGTCCCTTCTTTCTCATTTTTGGCTTATCATAGTACCCTTCAATTTAGATATAGAAACCTTTACCGAAATGACTGACAAATACATTAAACTCGGGAAAATTGGGGAAGGTTAGACTTGAAATGGAGCAAACTCGTTAACATTCTTAACGGTCACGCAATGTGGACTTAATAAATTCTATAACCACAATATTCGAGTTTCAACGTGTTTATGTAGTAAAAAAAGTTTTTTTCTTCTTGACGTTCGTTTTATCAATACTTTAAGGGACATACGGTGTTGTTTATAAAGCGAAAGAAATAAAAACGAGTCGCGTCGTAGCTATGAAAAAAATGAGATTAGAGTCTTTTACCGGTAGAATATCTTATACAACAGTTAGAGAAATATCTATATTGAAAGAAGCTAGGCATAAGAATATTGTGAAGTATGTTTCTATTCCTCTATTTAGATCAAGTTT